ATGTGAAAGATAACTGGGTACATTGGTGTGCCAGCTGGTAGGTTTTCACATTTTAAAAGGACATAAAGTTATGCCTGTCTAAAAATTGAGTACATGACCCAACAGCTATTTCCTTTGATTGTTACATTTTTTTTCCTTTTGTTAAGAGCCTGTTTTGATATTTAACAATGCCTTGCACATACTGTGCTCAGTACATGGCAATGAAGTGATTGTTTAAGAAAGAAAATATCATTTTTTGGTAGAGTTATATATTTTAAAATAAAGTGTCAATATCTCTGGCAACAGGATTACATAAAATCCATTGGATAGTAACCATCTCATGTAAGAGATTTTTTCCCTTAGATTTACCTTCAGTGTAACCTTATGATTATTGTTAGAATTCTTGATTTTTTTTCATAGCTGTGTAACCAAAAATCTCTTTTGCTGACCGTCTTATCACTTCACACAGGTTAGAAAGGTGAAGGAGGGGAAGAATGGTGAGGGAAATAATGTTGGAAATTATTGAGACATTATCTTCTAAAATAATTATAAGATTCTACAACTCTAAAAACTTTAAAACAAAATAACTATTAACTGGTGCCACAAATGAGACTTATCAGTATCAGCTGATTATATTTTATTTTTGTTTCCATTTTAAAATAATATATTATATTTTAATATACTATAAAGTAAAATAATATATATTTTAAATACTGTAATAATGAACTATATAATTTTTTAAGGCTATAATACTGAATTTTTTGAAGGTTTGGCATTAGATTTAAATTCAAGAATAATGTATATACCACTGTATGTTACTTTTAAAATTGAAGCATAGTTATAATTGATATGGAAAAGAGATGATGATTTCACTTTCTAGCTAACAACAATTTGATTGCATGTGGGTATTTTCCAAAACAGCGTTTTTCACCCAAAAATTGCAGGAGATGGGAAAGTGAGGTTTATCGCATTTCATCTAGAAATGCTGAAAAAAGGAAACTGGTTGATCTGTGAAAAGATCTTTGTCATGAGATTGTTTTATTTAAATGCCATTTCAGAATTTAGATTTTTTTTATCTTTTCTCCTGTCTTTAGCCACATATATATGCAAATGAAAGGAACATAAAACCGTTTATCTAACTGCTTTCCAATATCAAAATGTAAACTGTTACTTTGAGTCCATCCACATTTCTTTTTCAGCTGCCTTAATCTTTCATGAAATTTAAATGGGAAATCTTCATCTTGAACAGTATAGCGTGAGTTTCCATTATTCAAAATTAATTTATATTTCAAAAATTTCTATACATAAACTAGTGTTTGAATTTTTCATAGAAAGTTTCCTTTTCAAAATTAAATAGTGGACTTAATGTAAACCATTTAATAGGAGTTGGAACAAATTTACCTGCAGAGGTATACAGTAAAAGGACTCATATTGTTCTATCTCATTTCTGAAAATAACAGTTTGCTATGTAGGTCAGGTGGCACTGAATTTATAAACAGCATTGAAGAAAATGCAGAGGATAGGCCAGGACATTGCTGTGGATAAAAATCAGCCACCCTAACGACGGACCACAAAGGATTTTATCATAACAGTAACAAATCAGTGCATCTCTGCTTCTGACTTGGCAGTCCCCATAATTACCTTCTCAAGGCATATCTCCAGTGTGATTTGCAAGCTGGTCCTCTGGGAATCAATATGGTATCCACAATTTGTCTACTCTCTTGACCTGGGAAGCTACCTATGCAGTCCACAGCTATGCAGTCCAAAATCGCTACCAGCGCTGGTTGCTGGAGGCCACTGATTTTTGGCTAATGGTTACTGGTGCCTGATGCTGGGTGTGCTAATATGCAGGTCAAGGATGCTGTACGTAGTGCCCTCGACTGCTTAAAACAACAGTACTCACCATTGTTGAGAGATTTTGTGTCTCATTGCTGAAGCCACTGGCCCTTGATACTGCTGTCACCTTGACTTTTCAAATTTCAAATTTATTAGTTCAGACATACTTTAAAAATTATAACTCTGGTACCTGAGAATTCAGGCATGAATCCATGAAGGTTGGATCAGAGGACAGATTAAATGAATGGCACTACTAGAGTTCAATACCTCCCTTCCCTTTAGACACAAGCCAGTTTTATTTTGCACCAACTTTCACATTTTGACCCTTTGTTTCTCATGGGGTGAGATTTTTTATAGTGGTCTCCTTGATAACTTATGAACATAGAACATTGAATAGCCCAATCTTTGGTCACCTGGACATAATGAGGCATGCCTGAACTGTAGTGAGAAAATTAGGCACTCATTTTTAATTAACATCATACTAATAATAGATATTAAATAAATAGAACATATTAAATACAACTTTACTTTTTTCCCTATTTTATCCCTATTTTATGTTGGGGAGAATACTGGGTGAAGGAGAGGAAGATGGTATTTTTTTTTTTTTTTTTTTGAGACAGAGCCTTGTTCTGTCGCCAGGCTGGAGTACAGTGGTGCAATCTCGGCTCACTGCAACCTCTGCCTCCTGGGTTCAAGCAATTCTTCCACCTCAGCCTCCCGAGTCTCTGGGACCACAGGTGCGTGCCACCACACCCGGCTAATTTTTATATTTTTAGTAGAGATGGGGTTTCACCATGTTGGCCAGGATGGTCTCTATCTCTTGACCTCCTGATCTGCCCACCTCAGCCTCCCAAAGTGCCGGGATTACAGGTGTAAGCCACTGCACCCGGCCGGAAGACAGTATTTTACTGTACCAATTATATTAATCTTCTCTTGGCCCCCAATTATTTTATACTGTTAAACAAGTAAAAAGCCTTAATAGAAGGCTTTCTATGGAGATACAAATAGCCATTGTTGCTGATGCATATCTATGCTGACCTACTAGGAGTAGTATATATACTAGTAGTTTATTTGCTAAGAAATGAAAAAAGGCAGGTATATTAGCCAGAATTCTCCAGAGAAACAGAACCAATAGGAGAATAGATCTTTATATTTAAAAATAGATATGTGTGTGTATATGTATATGTATGTATATGTGTGTACACATATATGTAGACATATGTACACATATACACACGTGTTATATTTATTATAAGGAATTGGCTCACATGACTATGGAAGCTGAGAAGTTCCAAGAAATGTATTGGCAAGCTGGAGACCTAGGAGAGTGAGGAGTGTAGCTCTAGTTCAAGGCCAAAGGTCTGAGAACCAGGAGAGTCAATAGCCTAAGGTCTAGGCTAAGTTTATGAGAAGACTCATGTTCCAGTTCAACAGCCAGGCAGATAAATGAAGTTCTGTCTTATTCAGGCTTTTTATTCTACGTATTGAGATCTTCAGTTGATTAGGTTAAATCCCACATGAGGGAGAGCCATTTGCTTTACTCAAGTCTATCAATTCAAATGTTAATTTCATCTAGAAATATCCTTGAAGACATACCCAGAATCCTGTTTGACCAAGTATCTGGGCACCCTGTGCCCAAATTGACACAAAAAATTAACACTCACAACCGGCATCTCTGTCAGTCTGTATTAGCATTTGAGACAATCTGCTAAACATAGAACTGCCTGATATATATATATATTTTTTTTCCACAAGAGTAACTATAGAATTCACTTTTTAAAAGAGGCTACTCTTTTGTTTGAGAAAGAAAACAACTCCATTGGACCTTTTAGTTAGACAAAAGCAATGCCTTGATCTTACTCTGAAATAAAGAGGTTGAAACACTTTAAGAATTTTCCTCCTTATGGGAAGGATGGCACTTCTAGAAAGATGCTAACTAGGGGAAGAATTCTTTCTTCCTTTATGTAAAACAATAATTTGGATGAATGGGCTTTGGAAATATTATGCTAAGTGAAAGAAGCCAGGTATAAATGGTATGATTCCATTTATATGAAGTATTCAGAATGGGAAAATCCATATGAGAAAATACATTAATTGTTGTTAGGGGCTCTGGGAAATACGGATTCTTTTTGGTGAGATGAAAATGTGATGGAACTAAATATTGGTAATTGTTACCTAATGTGAGTGTTCTAAGTGCTACTGGATTTTACACTTTAAGATGGATAAAATGATAAATTTTACATTATGTTTATTTTTCTACAATAAAGGCCAACAAAAAAATTGTAAAACATTAAGTATAATTTCTTAAATATAAAACAGAGTGATCATTTAAGAGGGAATTATGATGTTCGGTTAAATATTTGTGTCATAATAGTATTATTGTCCTCCATTCATAGCATGTCCATCAGCACAAAAATATTTCCATTACTTTCAATTATATTCTTCTGGATATATTACTTAAAAAAGCATTTAAAAATGTGCCTGGGTCTGCTTTCACTGTTGTTATTGAAAAACAGAGTGGCATATTTTAGAGCTAAGATAAGCTAATACAATGAAATATTATTAGAAATATCTGAACCCAGTATACAAACGGGCTACTAGAGAAATGGTAAATAAATAATTTAAATGAATAATTTGACTCCCTATGTAATCATTTAAATGCCATTAATTTCTAAAAGGCAGAATAATTTGGTGCTAAAAGTAATACAGTCATCACCTGTATACAATAAGCAAAACCACTTTGATTATTATTAAGAGGGAATATATATTACAAGTTAGAAAATAGCATGGGCTCTTTATAGCACAAGTTTTTCTTATTGGAAAAGGATTATATGGTAATATTTTAAATTAAGAATGAAAGGCTGGGTAAGTGATTCACGCCTATAATTCCAGTGCTTTGGGAGGCCTAGGTGGAAAGAGCACTTGAGGTCAGGGGTTTGAGGCAAGCCTTCTGGCAACATAGCCAGACCTTCTCTCTTATAAAGCCCCCAAAATTAGCTGGGCATGGTGCTGTATGCCTGTAGTCCCAACTGCTTGGTACACTGAGGCAGGAGGACTGCGTGACTCTGTATCCTGCCTGCCTCCCAGAAAAAGATGATAGTTTATGAACAGATCTCTACTAAAGGGAAAATGATCTCCTGGATTCAAGTTACATTAAGCATTAATTCATGGTATCATCCCTGCAGCACCTGAACAACACCTCAGAACAGATAGTAGCCCCTGTGAAACTGGAGCGGTGACCTGGCATCCTCCATTGTGCCTTCTATTACCCCTTTAGTTGATGGATTGAGGGGAGACTTCCAGGTTAGTGAGCGAGAACTTGGGGGAGTGGGAGATGAGGGAGAGGGGCGGTGGCTATTGATCGACTGGAATGCAGATCTTTACGTATTTTAATAATATGCATGCTTATATGATAGCAAAATGTTTGCAATTCAGCCCTGACCTTATTTTCTATTTAAACAAAACAAAACAAAACAAAACAAAAACCTGTATTTCTTAAGCACCTAGCTTAAAGTTTACTAGCAAAGGGAGATATCTAGTTTCTGGTCTCAAAACATGAATATCTACCTAAAGAAAAGCAGCTAAAATGTCTAGAGTGCTAAATAAATTTTATATTTAAGTATAAATTGTTTGGAGAAGATTATAAGTAGTACGTAAATTAAAGAAGAGATTCCTCAGTGGCCAAGAGTAATTGAGGAATAGAGAATTTACTGTGAAGGCATTGAAACTTGAATTTGAGGGTTAGGCAGGATATAAGACAGGCATGGAAAAGGATGTAGGTAGAACATTGCTCAAATAAGAAGAACAGATAAGCAAAGGAAAGGGCTGCCCATTCCTCCCTTGAGTACAAGGGCAGATTGTAGACAGGCCTGTATAGGTGCTAATGGCTCATGTATATGCAATGTTGACATGTTATGTTGATGTCAGGGACATTTTGACAATGATGAGTAGCAAATCAATTGTTTCTTATTCTTTTTTTTCAATTATCAAGTAATATGTACAATACATTTGCTAGTTCTCAGTCTATGTGTTAGATTTCTTGCAGATCCCAAGCCCCATAGAAAAAGATCCCCTGGGTCAAAATAGCCTTCTTAAAATGGCCACCGGAGTTCGACTCTGAAAATCTGGACTCTTCAGCTAAAATAGTTACACTTGAAAGGCTGAAGTTAGCAGTTCAGGCCTAAACTTAATTTTTAAAATCCACTCCTGAGTCAAGTGCACCTGTTGAGAAGGATGGCACAAGAGGGAGAAGCTATCTATTTGTATCCCTGTTTGTGTTTCTTTAGAAGGAACAGTAACTCATGTGAGGCAAAATCAAGCAAACGTCTTAATTTTGCGATCCAACACTCTAACTTGCAATTACAGACTAATCAGGTGTGTGTCCTCTGACAAGTGATAGCTTAATAGGCTATATTTTTGAGATTAAAAAACATACCAAAATATGGCAGATAGATAAAAATAGGTGAAAGCATATAGATTTGTATTTGGTTTCTCATATCATACCTATGATAACCAATATTAAAACAGGAGTTATCTGCCCTTTAGAGTTCATGTTCATCCTTTCTATATTTTTAATCTTTATGCAAGAGATGAGCCAATCTTATGAGTAAAGGTTACATACCGAAACTGAGAAAAATAATATTCTAAGTGCAAGTGTATACTATCAAAATGATGAAATGTAAACAAAGACATACTCAGATAATTTCTCCCTCACAATTACATGTCTACAGTGCTTTCTTGCTAGCCATGTCTGAATTTCAAGAAAGATATGCAAAGTATTTCATAAGTCATGGGTACCCACCTACACAAAAGAGATCCAACATAAAAAGGTATATGACTATACTGGTGCAAAACAACTGATTATTAGGTCTTTATATTTTCTCTCTAAATAACATGTAGCAATGGTCACAGTCTACACACCATACCACTTGTAACTTCTTTTTATCTGGCTTAATGATATCATGTATAATCCTTAGGAAATAAAATAATTATTGTCTCTGAGGATTAATTTAGAAAATCAAAGAAGCAAGGCCGGGCGCTGTGGCTCAAGCCTGTAATCCCAGCGCTTTGGGAGGCCGAGGCGGGTGGATCACAAGGTCAAGAGATCGAGACCATCCTGGTCAACACGGTGAAACCCCGTCTCTACTAAAAATACAAAAAATTAGCTGGGCATGGTGGCGCGTGCCTGTAATCCCATCTACTCAGGAGGCTGAGGCAGGAGAATTGCCTGAACCCAGGAGGCGGAGGTTGTGGTGAGCCGAGATTGCGCCATTGCACTCCAGCCTGGGTAACAAGAGCGAAACTCGGTCCCCCCCCCCCAAAAAAAAAAGAAAGAAAAGAAAATCAAAGAAGCATAAGAATTTTTTCTCCCCCCCCTTCTTTCCTCTTTCTTTGTTTTTAAAGTCTAGAAATCACCTTTATATATCCAATGCAGTTATTTTAGCACTTCTTTTTAGTCTTGAAAATTTTTCAAAGCTAATTTTTTCCTGGAACTCCAGTGTATAAGACAGAACTTAAGAGTTATTCTGGCTAACGAAGGTAAGCATTGGAGCTCCTGGGACTTCATTCACTCTATTTCCCACTGCTCTGTAATGGGTGACAGAAGGAAATAATCAAAACTTTTGGGATATAGTACAAAATTCTCATTTTATATGTGATAAAACTTGTCTGGAGTGGAACAACTTTCTGAAGTACAACATTATGTATTACTGTTTTGTGTAATGTATCAGATTGTATTATAGGATAAAAAGAAATTAATTTTATAAATAACAATCTAATCTGCTTTGACTAGAGACTTTTCTACAGTTTAAGTATGAGTACTGATATTTAGAAATCTTTGATATATTACAATCATATAAATAGAAGCATTAAATCAGTATGGGACTAATACTTTTTAAGATATATGAAGATACAGATGAGATAAGAAGAAGCTGCAGCATGTTTATGTTCTGACAACCATAATAGTGGAATGAGCCACACACTGAGCTAGAATTTGATTAATGGAGCAGAGCATCTATGTTTCACAACAATCACTTCATGGACATCAGGATAATGACGCTATAGTAAAACAACCTAAATGCAATGAAATCAAATTCAAATGAAAGAAATACAACAAGTAAGAAACTAAACATAATCTTCTGAGATTCCATTTGATTTTTGACAGTTGAAGTTTAGGAAGTGTTTCAATGGCAGACAAAAGTTAAAACCATGGAGAAAATGGCTTGCATAGGAAATTAAAAAGATGTTTTGAGTTTCTCTGCCTGAGATTTTCTTGAACAAGGAATTAGCTTTGTCTTCTCTTCAACTGGTGTTGTTTTTAAAACTCAACAATCTATTTTTCCTAGGAATATTTCCAGAAATAAATTAAGATTTGGACTTTTATGTTATTTCCAGGAAAAGTTCCTGAAATAAAGGCTTGAACCTACATATTCTTCCTGGCAAAACTGTCCTGTGATGGCCAACATTAAGACTTACTCCAGTGAATCTTTTAGTCTTTAAATGAAAAATATTTAAAGTATTTTGGTTATGCAGAAGAAAAAAAAATATCAAGTCACTTCCAAGGGAGAGAAAAACATATTGATGTCAAACTCTTTGACAGTGATGTTTCATGCTATAAGACAAAGGAGTAATATATGTAGGATACTCAAGGAAGGATACTGTGAGCCAAGTATTTTCTATTCAGGCAAAAATGATTTTTAGTATTAAAGCCATAGGCTAAAGTGAACATACAAGAACTCAGGAAATATTTTTCCAATGGAACCTACCAGAGAATATATTTTAGATAACCAAAGCCCCTGGAATCATTGCCACAGTACGAGTGGTGAGCCCTGAATGCGTATATGACGATAGAACTACTGCTAAAGAATAAGCGTGAGAGGGACAGTAGAGCATGTGATGGTTATACACTACACAGATTTAGTAAAATTATTAAAGGTGGGGGAAAAAGAGAAAGAAATTTTCTTAACTACAAGATAAGCCATAAATGAAAAAAGACAAACTAAAACAGATGATATTGTAAAGGGTAAGACATGAAAGTATTGTTTGATATAACCGAGGTCAAACCCATCAATCATGTCAAACATACACATGGCTTAATTTATCAAAACCAAGAAAATAATTTCAGATTGGCTAACAGAACAAAACATAGTAATATTACATATAATAGACCAGCGAAACATAAAGTGACTCAGAAAAATTAAAAGCAAAAAAATGAAACTGATTCTGCTAAGTAGAAGCGAGTAAGAAGAAAGCAAGATTTGCAATCTAGAATAGATGATTGACAAAGTGGGAGTTAATTTTTTTTTAAAAAGCAGTAAGGGAAGCAACTGACAGTACTTTTCCTTGCTAAAGGCTTAAATTCTATTTAAAGGTTTAACATAATGACAATTTTTATTATGTGAAACTGCCCTGTGATGGCCAACATTGAGACTTATTCCAGTGAATCTTTTGGTTTTTAAATGAAAAAAAAAATTAAGTATTTTGGGATGTAAGGAAAAATAGAAACTGTTTCAGATTGGGTGAACCAAGAAATGCACTCTGAGGCAATGATGTGAAGACAGTTGGGAGATAATCCGAAAAGGTATGCATAGAGTATTGGGAAGGTGATATAGGAAAAGTTAAGGAAGCCAGAAAAGGATGTGTAATCAGTGATTTTTGCTGCAGGCAACATAAATTTATCCTACCAGGAATGCTGGAAGACAATGTAGAACAGAGCTCAGAGTTAGACCACAACAGGGGCAGGACACCTAGGGAACATTTTCTCCAACTCACATCTGGTATTGCCCTGAGAGCTTTTCTACAGTCATTAACTCTCTCATACAGGGTGAAAAACTTCAAGTAGAAAGTCACGAGAATGCCACTCATAGACACTTAGAACGGTGGGTAGTGAAGAAACATAGCCAGAACAATATTAATAATGGGATGCTACTCCATGTCCATGAGTATCATATGGACAAAACAATTCAAATGGAATATGACTGAAATATGGGTCTTAAATATGTACACGTCTGTAGATATGTCTATATTTATAAATACTACACATTGTATATCTCTATCATATGTAAATATAAAACTGAACAACAGAAGATATGACAATTGACCATAAAGATATTGAAGATGAAAAGAGATTTCAGTGAGTTCACATCCAAAGATTAGAAGTAATATAAAGATTGATAATACAAATACTATCTCTGTAAATAGAATAAAATTAGAAATGAATTAATTAAAAAGCCATGACCTTTACCAATTCTACTGTGTTAAAAATGCATAAAATAATATTGGAGAAATGATGACAAATCATGTTCATGAATTGAAAGACTATCATAACAAATTTAATTCTCTAAATGTTGATATATAAACTTAATGTAATGCCAAGTACAGTTCCAACAAAGGTGTTTTTTAGTTGTTTAGAATTACTTTTAAATGATTCATGATTATATAAAAAAATCTATTGCTGACATACAAAAAGTATGTCAGTCTTAAAACTAATGGTAAAGTTTCTGCTATTAAAAAGAGAATCCCACTGACAAGTATTTGAATATATACAGATATGTCAGTAACATGGAATAGAGAAAACAGATTCTGGTGGATTTGAGAATGTAGAATTTTATATATTTGTATTTGAGAATATATACATATATATATCAATTAAAAATTTAATGCATGATAAAAGTAATATTTCAATTCAGTGGAGGCAATGTAATGTATTTAATAAATATAGCTGGCACAACTTCATCTAAAAGAAAATGAAACTTTCATCTAACATGTATTAATTTCTGATGGCTGCCATAACAAAGTGTCACAAACTGGGTGGTTTAAACAGAAATGTATTGTTCCATAATTCTTGTGCCTAGAGGTCCGAGGTCAGGATGTTGGTGGGTTCTTTCTGAGAGCTGAGAGGAAAAACCAGTTCCAGGCCTCTCTCCTAGCTTCTGGTATTTGCGGGCTATCTGTGGCATGTCTTGGCATGTCGATACATCACCCCCACCTCTTCATGCTCATTTGCATTCTCCTCTGTGCACTTGTCTGTCTCTTCACATGACATTCTCTTATAAGGATCCACCCTATAGATAATATGAACCCTATGAACTTAACTAATTACATCTGCAACAACCCTGTTTCCAAATAGGGTCACATCCAGAGATAGTGGGAGTTAGAACTTCAGTAGAGACATAATTCAAACCGTAATTCAAGCACTGCATTTTCAAATTTCAATTGTCGAAATATAAATAGCTGAATGGAAAACTAGCAAACATTTTGAAAAGAGAACTATTAAAAGGTCAAGCGTTCACATTACCAATAAATACTTGACAAAGACCTGTCCTTCCTAGTAATTAGGAAAAGGGCCATTGAAGTATTATAACACATTGAGACCGGATTCCAGGACTCGGGGGAGGATCAGCTCCCTGATAGGATGTGTTCTTCCAAGCCCTTGGTCCCTCTCTCACCCAAGAATAGCGGAGAGGACCCCTGCTGGGCATGGTGAGCTTGTTTTAAGTAAATAACAGACTCCAAAGAGTTCTGCAGAAAATGATTTATTTAGGCAGAGAGAGAGAAAAAGTTGAAAGAAATAGAGAGGGGAGCTCCCACGCTGTTGTGGAGGGAGGGGATCCAGAGATGGAGTCTGCACCCATGTGTGGGAAGGGGACTTTTAACCTGGGAGATATTGCCACCCCATTCAAGTTTTCTATCCTATGAAAGGAGTTCCTTTAAATTTCCACTGGAGTGATTGACTTTTGATTTCTGGGCAGTTTATCTCCCTGCACACGGGAAAGTTAAACAAGACCTCCGAGCTCCAGGATGGAGACATGGGTGGAGGTACAACCCTGGGAAGATCTTGCCTTTGAAACTATGCTCCTTTGTGGACCCAAGGAGAGAAAACATTCCCTCAATATTGACGTTTACGTTACACTTATTTCACTGGTAAAAGGAAAAATAAAGCCGACAACTTTGGCAAGGATGTGGAGAGAGAAATATTTTCAAACATTGTAGAAAAATAAATTTTACAGCATATAAAAAGTCAC